GAGGCCGACATCATCAAGGTCAGCGACGAGGAGCTGCTCTTCCTCACCGGGGAGAAGGAGGTGAGCGAGCAGGTCGCCCGCAGTCTGTGGCACGACGACCTCAAGCTCCTCGTCGTGACTCGCGGAGAGGATGGCGCCGACTTCTACACGAARAGCTTCTCYGGACACGTGGACTCGTTCAAGGTCGAGACKATCGACACCACCGGCGCAGGGGATGCTTTCGTCGCGGCGTTGCTTGTCCGGATCGCGGCTGATCGGTCCATCTTGGACGACAAATCCAAGCTCGAGTCCACGCTGCGATATGCTTGCGCCGCCGGTGCCATCACCACCACAGAGAGAGGAGCGATCCCGGCTCTCCCTACTCCCGAGGCCGCCCTCGCGCTTCTGGCGAAAAACGTGACTGTCTAGAGCCCTCTTCACAGCGTTGGGATCCTTAATTGGGGTCAAGCGGAATTTCGCGATGCACCTCATCGTCCCGAAAAAAAACTTGAGGCTGAACTTGCCGTCGGTCCTTGATTTTTCCCTTCTTCGTTCCGTTTTCCACATCTCCCGCTCTTTTATCTCATGGCCTTTCTTCCTCCCGCACAATCGTTTCATCTCATTGCCTTTCTTCGTTCCAGACCATCGGTAAGTGAGCGGATGACTGTTTGTTGTTTGAAATTGGTAGGTGCGGTGATGTGTCTCTTTGTTTTTTTATTCTTTTTTCCGTTGATTCTGTCGGCTTCGCGATGGATCTGCGTTTCACATATTCATTATGATTATTCATTGAATTTCGTGAATAAGTACGGCATTGTTCGTGCATTTTTTATTTTTCATTCTTAAGATGTTTGGCGACATTTCGCGTTCTGCGAAGTGAAAATTTTTCGTTTCCGATTGGTTTCCCACTTGCGGGGACAAATGCTGATGCCGATTCCACTCTGATGAGAGATTTGTGTTCATTGATTACATTTGTCAATACGATCCATTAAAGAGTCGGGGGGCAGGGAGTCGGAGGACAGGGGGATAAGGTTATGGGGTTTCTCCTTTTTTCTGTATTCGATGAACATTGCTCTTTTCCATCATTCTTCAATTATTCCTTAACAAACGCTCTGAACAACAAAAACTTCGCCTTTCAGTCTGCCTATCCGTCAGCTTCTCCCAATCTGGCTGTCTTTTGGTTTGCTTCTAGCCAATTTCTCTCCTTTTCTGACTGTGTTATCGTCTGTTTCTATCACTGTGCCCTCTCTCTCTCTCTCTCTCTCGCTCTCTCTCTGTGTTTGTGTGCGCGCTTGTGTGTGTGTGTGTGTGGGCGCGCGCGCACAGGAGCGCGCGCGTGTGTGTGCGCGCGCGCTATCTTCTTCGCTTTACACAACTCCAGAGAAAGAACATGATTGCTTCAGGCTGCTTCGTCGGAGTATCTACATCTCATCAGGAGTTTCAACCTCGACTGATTGATAATGACACACCACCTGTCATCTTGTTGCCGTTACTCATCAGGAGTTTCAACCTCGACTGATTGTGCAGAGCATGGCAAGGAACATCAGCAGTCTCTGCTCGATGCCACTTCGCTCAGTGCCACTCGGGGGTACCACCGGCATACCTCCAGGTGGCGGGTGCCGAGCATGCCCACATGAGACTAATGGGGATTGAACCCGAGACCTCTTAAATGCCATTTGCGTGCCTTACCAACTGAGCTAGGCCGCTGGACTGCACGATGTGTTCAGTCCTAACATTGTAATGGTCTCAGGGATCCCCGCAATGAAGGCAAAGATAAGGAGTGACGCCTATAGCGATAAAGGGTGGTGTTGTTCGTTGTTCGTGTAGCGAATCTAGCGATGGCGTCGTACTCATGGTAGATTTGTTTGTGGGATAGATCACAACAGTGCCTTCATCCGATAATTGCCACGCTGGCAAGACAACCAGGGCACGTGGGATACCGATTTTTTTTATTTTTTTTTTACCTTTTCTTTTGAGTCTTTTCTTTTCTCTCTTTTTTTTTTCCCATCCGACTTTCTTGTTGAGATTGCGCAGAGCATGTGCAAGACAGTCTGCCCAGGATCCATTCGACTAATTGATAATTACACACCACCTCGCCCAGAATGAGTCATATGCCTGTCAAGATGCTCGGCTTTACTCACACGAACCGTGCATTACTAGCAGACACGAGTTCCAAATCCCGAGGGAGTGTGTGGGTGTCTTTTCCCCTCTTCACCCTCCCCGCAGTTAGACTCCTTTCGTTGTGTCCGCGTCTCTGTATATCTATGGCCGCGTTCCTCTTTTCTGTTCTTTTCTTCCCCCCCCCTCCGCGTAAACTGGATACATAGTCATCGAGTATAGGGCCCGCTACCCAGGGGGAGGTCACAGGTACGTGGAACAAGAGGCATTGGCTGTCGATCTTCGTTATTATCTATGGATGCAAGCGGGCCCTTCACCCGGGACATCGAACCCACTGCCCGTAGACAGAGCTCCGACTGCTGAGAGCCTCAAGGGGATTGAGGCCATCTTAGCTCGAGCTTGCAGGTCAGCGGTTTTCTGTCTAGGCCGAGGCTGACGTGAGAGGCAGACAGCAGTAGCTGCTACTCGTGTATGAAGTCAGACTTCGACAAACTGGTGTTTTGCAAAACCAGCCCGAGGTTCCCACCTGCCAAAGGGACCTCTCTAACAGCCATTCTGCCGTAACCCCATCCAGGGACAGGGCCGACTTCCCAACCAGTCTCACGTCCACTGCTAACGTCTTCACGCGAATAGAACGCCCCGTAATTGTGTCTTTATGGAGACGAATAATACAGCTACAATCACTGAGTGTTCTTCTTCTTCTTCTTCTTCTTCTTCTTCTTAACGCGCAACACATGCACCCCCAATTCTGGGCCCCAAATTGGGACGAAAAGAGAAGAGAGATAGACCGGGTAGAACAAGCGGCCACCTCAGCCCTGCACTTGGTCTTCCCCTGAATAGAACACACGGTCATTATAGCCGTATTTGGCTCACGTTTTAGTCCACGTGCAGAAGGAGAGGGGGGCTGCCGGGTAACTCATGCTGGTCAGGAAAACTCCACATGGTACCCAGACGCTCAGCATCACGCTACCTAGATAATGCCGCCACTGACCAGTGTGACGCAGTGGGTGTTCTATTTGTGTGAAGACCTAAACGCAGCACCACTTCCCGCCGCTTAAAGAGTCAACGGTGGCCCGAACCCCTAATAGGTCTCCAACGGTGTTAACGGACACATATTTGTTTTTCAACAGGGGAAAGCGGCAATTCACCTCTCTTCCCTTCTCCCCCATTCCTCCAATCCCTCATTGAACTGAGATGGTGCAATCGGCAGTTCACCTCCTTCAGATGAGGCATTGGCGGCCACAGCAATGACAAGGGTGAGCGTGCTCCCTCCCGTCGGTGGAGCATGGCCTGGCAGGGGGGCGGATAGATAGAGATTGGACGCCGGTGGGCTGTGGCGACGTTGCGCTCATTCTCTCTCTCTCTCTCTCTCTCTCTCTCTCTCTCTCTCTCTCTCACACACACACACACACACACACACACACACACACACACACACACACGCACACACATCCCTCCATGCTTCACGCGTCTTGAGGATTGACCATAACTCGGAGAACAGCCCAGGAATTCCCCGAGAGGGTATAGCTTTACAGGCTTTCCAGCACCACCGTGACGGTGATTATGGCTTTCTGTACGATTTTGCCTCTGGGAATGTGTAAACCCGCGTCCGTCGTGGGTTAATCCGACGACCCATCCACACGGGCACTCAAACGGACTGGGCCATGGTGTATAGTTTGACCGCAACTTCAAACTCACCGCATCACTTTCTTACACAGGTGAGTTTGACTTGGAACCTTGAACTCAGTCTGTCACTGAACTGCTGCACTTTTGAGTTTAGTCTGCAAACCAGACTTGAAAATATGATGCAGCTGCAGTTGTTCCATGGTGTATAGTCACGATAGAGGCCAGGCCATTCCAGAATGGCAGAATCATCTGGCGGTAGCACATTCTACGACAGGTGCTCAGAATCCACCTGGGTACCTTGTTCACCCGAATAGAACGCCCGGAAAAGTGAACGGCAGTGATTCCTTTGCTATCTGACTCCTTGCAGACGTCCCGTGGCTAAGATTAAGTGTCCGATCTAGGGATTCTACGAGAATAGCAATACTTTTCTCGACCTTTTGACTAAGATCAATGTAGCCGCAGTGTCTGTTCAGATGAGATAAAAAAAAAAAAAAAAAAAGCAAAGAAAGCGAGCAGCAGCACTTCGGACGGCTCCCTGAGTCTTTGCAGATCTCCTATGGGGAACGAGAGGTGTCCTATATGCCGGAGAGTCGGAGACCTTATCTGCATCCTGTTATCCTGTTCAGACCAGAGTAGCTGGAAACCATTGGAACCTTGTGGGGAGTACTTCTGTAGGCCAGGGAACCATCTTGCTCCATTTGTCCATAACAATGATAACAGGCTTCCGTGTGTCAGAGCTTGTACGTGAGACAAATGGATGCTGGGGAAGCGACCCACCACCAAAGGATTTAGTTCTTTTGGGTGGCAAAACAGTCGGAGGGGCCGCTGAGTACTTTGTGGTTGCAGTTTGAAGATTATCTGGTGGCACCGCCGTTTGGAACATCCCACCAGGCTCTCAGTCAGAGGAACGACAATGATATCCTGTATGTAGAAAATAATGATGATGGATACATGTCGGGCAGAAAATGATGTTGCAATGCAATGTGGAACCGGAGTGTTGTGGGCCCTTCAGCTTGGAAACGATCTCTCATGCTCTCACCAAATCAGATCAGTCGATGGTAAAAAGAATAACTGTAGTGTGCTTGTGGTTGGGGCCGCACCGTTGACCCACAGTGTATGGCTGCAGGTCGGCACTGCGACTTCCGGAGGTCAGGGCTGCTCGGCAGCCCCAGTACCCGAAGGTCGCTATGTTGGAGAAATGAGTTGGGCCAAGTACTGGTGATTGAAGGCTTTGTGGTTTAGGATTTAAAGGGTTGAAGGCTTAAACCACCGGTACTTCCTAGAGTCGTGCCCGTTACGCGCCACGATTTTAGGAAACCTATGGGCTACTACAGGACCGCCGCCCAAATTCATCCGACTACAAACATTTCAACTCTATTTTTCCCCGCAGCCGATAGCTGGGCCAAGTACTGGTGGTTTAACTTTATGGGTTCAGTGCTAAGGGGTAAGCGTCAACCGGTTAGTGATTGGAGTTACTCGCTCCCATCCCTAAACCCTAGACTCTACGAGGTGCCTCTGAGGAGTTGGCAGACTATGTATGGTCTCTACTGAGGAGTTCAGACTATGTACTATGTACCTCAGTGAAGGGCTTGAGGGCTGGCATGGTACAGACGTGGACCCTAGACATTCCAAACGCATTAGCCCTAAACCCTAGACCCTAGTAGGGTTTAGGGTTTGAGGGCTGGCATGGTAAAGATGAAAGGCCCCCTAAGCCATCAGACTTAATTAGAGGCAACTATTAGGGTCTAGGGTTTACGGCTAATGGGTTTGCAGTGTGATCACACACCCTTTGCAGCCTGCACTGTTTCTGTAGTGCAGCACCACCTCTACTATACCAAGGAATTTCACATTGTCGTAGAAGTAATCTTCCTCTAAGCTATTGATCAACAGGTGCCCCAAATCCTCTTGGGTACAGATGCTCCAATTTCTTTTGGCTACAGGTGTCCCCAAATCCTCTTGTTCAACTGATTGATCAATTGATTGATTGAGTGAGTGAGTGAGTGATCCGTTGGTTTTGGTAGGGTCACGCATCAATCAATCAATCAGTCAGTCAATCGATCAATTAATCAATCATTTTTTTTCATGCCCTTTGTTTGTTTGTTTGTTTGTTTTGTTGTTTTCTATTAGTCAATCAATCAATCAAGCACAAATCGACACTCAATCAAATTTTCCATCCATCCATCCATCAATCAATCAACTCATCTTTAATCTCTTTTTTTCCCTACCCCGACCCCCCCAAAGAAAAAATCTTTCTTTATTTTTTTTTTTCGTCGGAGGGGATTGCCCCCGACAACCACACCTCGCCCTCCTTGAATGTCCTCAGAGACCCCTCCGAAAGCCCCAACTTTTGGTGCCAAATGACATACTTATGACCCGTA